AATGTTGAAAACACTTGATTAATTTTTAATTTACTGATATTTAAGAGTTCTCTCAATGATAACGGTTGTTCTCTGATCTCCATTTATGGCAATAAACTTTGTGTATTGCCACACACCGAAAACGATCTCGCCCACGAATTCTGCTTATTTCAAATTGACCATCAATTGTTGCTTTGCCTCTTATTTCGATATTTTATTTTCCCTTTCTCATACTATCGAGGTTTCTCTCCCACAACATCCCTCTATTAACATCTCCCGTTCTCCTCAATGTAATGATTATTGCTTACAACAATAATCATGCTCGTGTAATCAAAAGCGACATATGTATCACTTGATTTGTACTCTTACCTCGCAGTAGTATTTATAAAGTATATTTAAATAAGTTGCATAATTAGGAGCTTCATAACATGCACTGTTAGTAAAGTATTTTTAGAATGGTTATGTAAATGGAATGAGATGGACAGAGCATATAGTACGCGTGGCGAGAAGAGAAATGCGTGCAAAATTTTAATCGGAAAATAAGAAAGGAAGACGTAAGATTCAAGAAAGGAAGAGATCACTTTGGAAACATAGACGTACACGTACTAGAGAAGATAACATTACAATAACTACTGGGAAGAACCAATCGCATACTTTCCTTCCTTATGGTGCGGACTGCACAGAAATCGAAACATATCTTGGGGTGTTACAGAGACAGCAAGATGATCTCATATGCCTTATTTTATTTTTTTCAAAATAAGGAAAGTACGCTAATAAAATGGAGCCTACATAAGTAGGACATAAGGGTACGGGATGGATTCAACTGGCTTAGGACACGAGGAGTGCCTCGCTTAGATGTTAGATTTAGTTTCACAAGAACTGTTTTCAGTGGAGTTTAAAGGATATTTTAATTTATTCCAAGTTAATTTATTTTACTGTACTCTATCACTTTACATAACGTTTCTTAAATATTTATTTATATCAAGTTTTTAGTTAGTAAACGGCAAGTTTGTAGGAGCTGGGTAGCTCAGTTTGCATAGCGAACAGGCTACGAGCTGAACAACCGGGGTTCGATTCCCGGCAGGATCAAGAGATTTTTCTTTCTCCATAGCGTCCAGGCCGACTCTGCGGGTTCCGGTTGCTCTATCCTCGGGAGTTAAGCGCCAGAGGCGGGAAGCTGATCACTCACCTCCATCTAGTGACGAGGTGAAGCACTGTGGATCTATACTTCCGCTTTCTCATGTACCTACACGGAACACCATTTGATTAAATAACTGAGTACAGGGATACTTTATATTTTACCTCTTCCACAGCAAGTTTGTGTAACAACTCTATTTCCTGTTTACTAGCATATTTCCCATTTACAATTACTAAGATATTTCTTTTGCCTTGCCAAATTCCCAGTCGTCCCGTGACACGTTCCATTCTTACACTTGTTTTCGTGCTTGACAGCGCAGATTCCAGTGGAAATGCGCCCCCAACCACTGCGCTGTATGCCAGGTCACCCGATTGGAAAAGCCCCCTTTTACTTTTCTTTACTCCCGAGAGTTAATTGCCCTTGCAGTAATTCTGTAATGGTCAGTTTCCTGGGAGAATCGGGTTACGTGATTAACGCCGATTGGTTCTTGGGACTGAGGAAGTGTTTCCGCTAGTTACATTCAATAAGACAGATCCAAGTTAACCGTGAAATGGAACTGTTTCTTCCAGAACAGGGTACATTTTGTCTTCCGATGCTTCTTCTTTTATTTCGTTCTAACACAGGGCCAATAACTACACCTGAAATCAAGTCAGGTACGTAACAAACTGTCGCAGCTTCAATATTCCTCAACATTCCCAACATCCAGAAGTAACAGTGACGTATTACGGGCGAACGTACGAGACACCAATTAAAAACATAACTGCACTGGCAGCGTGGAAGAACCTGCAGCCAATGGTGCATACATAACACTAAATCAGCATTCTCATGAACTGCGCAAATGATATGCATAACACCCACGCCGCAAAGGGAATGCTGTGCAAATGGATCCAAAGCGAGAGATACTTAAGCAAATATCTTTTAAACGAATAGAAGACGACCACAAGGAAAACACTGGGATGTTAATTAATTTTAATTGAGGTTAATTTATTTTAATTAGGAAATATCGCGTTCAGACACGATACCTAATTCTGACTCGTAGAGTGCGACAATTTTAGCGAGATAGAAGACACATGATGATGGCTGTAGTAGTGAGGTCGAAGGGTGACGGGATAATAAGCTGCAATTGAGACGGATATATGTGTGCGAGGGATATATTAATGCAAC